GACCAAGGTAAAAGAAACCACATTTCATAGGAGTCCTAATGTTACGACACCATCATCCAAAGAGGAAAGCTGACTTTTCGAAGGAAAGATGAAAGTCACACTCACTATATACTCTGTACTCTTTGGTCTTCCAATAATACATGTGTATTGTTTTAATTGTGTTAAAAAGCGCTAAGATATTGGCAACACATTTTACTCTGTGGATGAATTTCATGTTCTGGGCTGATAATGTATGAAAAATAAAACTCTGTCAATATTTGGAAATTGTAATGGAAATCAAATTAATTTATTGGCGCCAGTAGTGATGCCCGTCTGTATAGTCGGTTTTACGTCATCACGACCACCCTCTCGGCCAATCAGAACGCTGCATTTAGCCTCATTAGCATAAACCATGGCAAGTTTGAGGAGCCAGCTGGACTGATCGATATGTGTAGGAGGGGTGTTTATTTGCGTAAGCGAATTTAAAACCAGCGATAACAATAGACAATATTTATGAAATCGTATAATAAAATTATTTGTTCGTTTAATGAAATATACGAAACTATTTTATTGCCTAATTGAAGAATTTAATCTTTCAGTTAAATTTTAGCAACATATTACCGAGCACAGCGAAAATCGTTCAGAATGGAACAACCCGTAAGATTTGTTGTGAATGACTCATCAGTCTATTGTGCAATCGGACGGACAGTTTGTACGCGTACAGACATGCTAGAGTTTCTTCCGGTTGAGTTTTATCGCTGATAAAAAAATGAGTTTATGTATTCGAAGTTGTGGTAAACAAACACTCACCGTTGAACAGCGTACATGCATAGGGACAAAATACATAACATAAATTTACATATAGTACAGTAAAACGTCATATATACATCTGAATTGAAGAGATTTCTCAAGCCGCATATCATACTCGTGCCTGTTACCACTCTATCATAATAGCCTTTGTACTCGAATGGGGGAATCCAGTTACGTCATAGTGCTGACTCATCGAATGATGACAAACAACCGGACAAGTCCGGTCATGTGCATTGTCCGCGGTGTTTTTAAAAATCTCCCCGTATGGAATCGTTGTTTGTGGCGCTGGCCGCATTGGTATTTAAGAGAACGTTAGATACATGTATATACCGCGCTGTACGTCCATGCTGAGCTTGAGATTTAGCGTTACCGAGGAACAATTTGAGCATAGTATTGAATTATGAAGAATCTGACGTTGACGACTCAGTCATGGGAAGCTGATAAAAGGATTATCGTCACCGTTATATAATCGCTTCAATAACAACCTGCATTGTGAACATATCCAAGCCATGAATGGATTCAGGGGCCATCACATAATTATAATGTCATTGGACTTAATTGCTGGTCAGTTTTGTGCACGTGGAGCGCTGTACTGTTGATGAGGGATGACGTATGGGGCCAGGGTAGTCAACAGATAAAGCAAATAATAAGTAATTGGGTTTAAGATAAATAAAAGGAAGACAATTCACACTGTATTTTCAAGGATTATTTGAGAATTTTTTTATCATTATCATGCATACAACTTTATATACGTGCACTAATATTATGCAGTCATCATAAATTGCCCGTTTTATAATTTTAGACCTGAATCTAATAATATTGTCTTTTGTACCTGACATATACCGGTTTACAATACACTGTCTTTTTAAAGCCACATCGTATATAGAACCCACACAAGTTTAAATCTCCATGCATATGGGCATGCTCTTCTTCTAAGTTCAAGCGTCAGCGGACCCAATGTAACATATTTTTAATACTAGTATGAACTTATTCGTCCATGGTAAAAAAAAATATAGCCATAAGGAATTACTGTATAAGAGTGATAAGGGGCGACTATTTCAAATATTATTTTTTCCTATAAGACACTGCTAGATTATTTTTAAAAATGAGTAATCTTTTTGAAACTACTAGTCTTTAATCATCACTGTCTTCATCGTTGTCTTCATCCTCATCTTGTTGGAACAGTCCGTCAAAAGTGTTACGGTATTTAGGCATAATTCTGTTCAGAGCTGTGTTCAATTTCATGCCCGTAATCAATTTTCGTTCAATATCTTCCACAATTTCTTGATTAGTGCCACTATCTTTCAGATATAGGTAACTTGACAAAAAATCCTTGTATTTGTTGAAAAAGATTCGCTTGACTGCCCAAAGGGTCTTCCTGTTGGCCTTTTCCTTGGCCTGATCTTTACTCATATCCTCGTTAATGTACTTTTCATATTTGTCACTCCACATCTCCTGGGTGGCTTCTATGGACTCTTTCAACCAGTCTCGATATGCGGTGTTGTCTTCCAAATCAGAACTAGACTCGTCTTCATCAGATAATTCGTCATCTTCCACCTCCGTCACGGACTCCGAATCATCGTCTTCAAGATCTTCATCTTCATAGTTTTCCATATCAGGATCTTCAAATCTACGGCTTTTAGAATCAGGTTCAGAATGATCCTCCTCAACTTCATCTGTTTCAGAATCATCTACAACATGTACATTTTCAGTATGCCTCTGTAGGTTATATCTCCGTCCGAAGCTTTTGTCACACATGTGACAAGCATAAGGTTTGACTGCAGAAATAACATTCATGTTGCAGCTTTGAAGGTTAAGGGAATATACATCATTTGCTTTTGCTGTAATTTTCAGAAATGG